GTCGATTCTGTATTGGAGTCGCAAGTCAGCAATATCGAAAACCATGCAGAAGGCGACGACACGATTCAGTTCATGGTATCAACAGATGGCAAGACGATCAACGGCAAAAACCGAGCCGTTGGCAAGAGACTCAAGCAAGCTGGTGGTCATTTTGGCGAAGACTCTCTTCAACAGGTCTCCCAGGATTTCAAAGCTGTCAGCATTCACTACGCCGACCTCCAAGAGCACACCCCTGAGCGATCAGCAATGGAGCCTGGCACTCACGCTGCGACGGCTGGAACAGACTCGACTTTCGGGCACCGGCATGGGCCAGGTGTTACGCTCGCTAAGCAACACATGCCTGGCGCTGCCGGTACTGGTCAGACTGGTGGTTGAGCTCGGACATTCACCAGGGGTTGGCTTGTGAGGCTGTCGCAAATGCATGTCACAGGCGCAGTAGTGGTGTGAACTTGAGAGAAGCAACGGGGTGTCAGCACAAAGGAAGACGACCCAAGCGCTTGTAATAAGACTTTGAAATTGGCCAAAAATTGAGTCGAAATGGTATTTTGACCCCCGTCTGGACTCTGTATCCGTATTGCCAGGGTTGCTCTTCAGCTACTTCTAGTCACGGGGACTGTGTCTGGTCAAATGAGAGGAGAAGCAGAGTGGAATTCATAATAATCTATTTGTACGCGCCATTTGCCTAAGCAAAGAGGAAGAGATACCTTTCGTAGAGGGCTCGGAGAATGAAGGCGATAACCTGTGTTGATGGTCGTGTGGTGGAGTCTGTCTTAGCGCTTTTCATGACCTCCAGGCTCGGTATATATATGCATCACGACCTGACTGGATGGTCATCAGGACACCATGTGAGATTGAGCATTTAGTGATGATGCACCTGACGTGTGATAGCAGTGATGAACACGTGATTTGGAATCTCAACCATAGCGGGGAACGCAGTGGTTCCTTGCCAGTGATACGCCTTATCGAGTAACTAGTGAGGTTCTTGAAGCCATCGTCCAGCCAATTACATCGCGCTGATACCCTGTAGCGTTCCCAGACCGCATTGGCTCAAAGCGTGGCCATGAATATGCTGTTTTCTGCCTAGCGTGTTAGTAAGCAAACACCAGCTACAACTCCTGGTGAAGTGACGGTCCTCGACTGGAAGTCACGTGTCTGTCTAGAGCCACGATGGGCGCTGACAGCTCCATCCTTGTGATACGTCGCGCCAATTCTCACTTTCTAACCCCCCCGGACGCCTGAACCCCCCCACCATGGCAGATCAACGTCGGCCAAAGATCATTGAGGACAACCCCATTAAGACCGGACTTGAGGGCTTTCGCGCTTCTTTCAAGGCCGCCTGTAAAAATGAGGGCATCCCTCCCTCACTGGACTCGCTTTGCGAGCTTACTGACGATGGTAAAACAATCCACCCTACCGATCCTACACTACTGACCTTACAGAATTCCAAAACTTAGCTCTCGATCTCATCCTGGCGCTTCAAGGCTGCCAAGCGTCTCGTCTGCTTCGCTCAGGTGGGAGAGGGAAGAACCTATTTAGCGACTTATCAAGACTCAGCTCCGCTGTCAACTCCGATGACTTCGATTTCGACCGCATCAAACCACTTTTCAAAGCATCCCTAGCCGATACCCTTGACGACGCGTTGATCTGGGATCACGTCTACAACACCGTTGCCGAAGCCACCCCGCCGCCCCGATCAATAGCATCCTCTCTTCAACAAACTCCGTGGCTCCGCAACACGAGCGGCTTTGCGAACTCGTCCGAGCATCGGAAGTACATGGACCTTGTGCTCAGGGAAGAGCTCGGTACTATGCATGTCGGGCTCCCTGGTTTCCACAAGACATATTTCGGACGTGTGGCCGATCTTGATACAGCGTCTCGGGCAATATTCGAGAAGTGCGAGGAAGGCAGCAACCCTCTATTTCGCGAGGGGTGGACCAGATGGCCGAGTGATGCGAATCAAGACGGTGTGCTTAGCTGGTTCGCGGACATCAGCGATAAGCTGGCGGCCTTCGCAGAATCGTACAAACCCACTCTGACCGGCCGGAGGCCGTTGGCACAGCCCAACAAGCCGATCCACGGTTCTACTGCAGAGCGCAAGCTGGACGTTGGGTTCGTGAATGACCCCCAAGCAAGAAGCGACTCTCGATGTTGCTGGTCGCAGATACTCGTCCCTGGAGAGCTGAAGAGCAATCCATCTGCCGATATCGCCTCCAAAGCATGGCTTGATTTGGGGAGATACGCAAGGGAAGTTCTCACTGCTCAAGACACCCGTCGCTTCGTCTTGGGCTTTACCATTTGCGGTTCGCTCATGAGGATATGGATGTTTGACCGGCTCGGCGGGATCGCGTCTGAACGGTTTGATATTAATCACGACGGGCTGCAGTTTGTCTCCACGATCATTGGGTTCCTCTGGATGGATGAGGAAGAGCTTGGCTTTGACCCTACGATCATTACAGAGAACGGCAAACGGCTCATCATGATCACACGGAACGGACAAACAGAGAGGCTCGTCATCGACCAATTAATGAAACGCGCGCCTTGCGTCGCCGGCCGGGCTACGACTTGCTGGAAAGCGCACTGCGAAGAAGACCCACAGTCGCCAATCGTCATCAAGGACTCCTGGCAGTTCGTGGAGCGTGACGAGGAAGGCGAATTACTCCAAGAGGCGACCGGCAAAGATGTAGTCAACGTCGCTAGGTACTACCACCATGAGACCGTGGTTGTCCGTGACGAAGTTGACGACATTCGAGGCAATACTCGAAGGGGACTGGATGCTACTGAGGCGAAGAATTATCAATCAGAACGATCTATCATTCCGCAGAGCATGAGTGTAATAGGCCCTTCACGAACAGGTCGAAGCAGTACTATCGGAGTGAAGCGGTCCTCGAGCCAGACGGGTGCCCCCGTACCACCCAGTAAACGGTCCTGTTCGGCATCTCCAACAAAAGCAGGCAGCCACGCCATCCCCAATCGAGTACATAGGCGGGTCATCCTACGCGACTACGGAAAAGCTATTTACAAGGCAAGCTCCCCGTCGGTTCTGCTTGCCGCGCTAGAGGGCTGCATCGAAGGGCATGAGTCCTTGCACAAGGCAGGTTTGCTTCACCGAGACATCTCGATTAACAATCTGATGATCAACGAGGACGACACGAACTCTTCGTGGCCCTCTTTTTTGATCGACCTTGACCTTGCCATCCGAGAGCAACGAGACGGTGCTTCAGGGGCAAGAGGAAAGACAGGTACAAGGGCTTTCATGGCGATTGGGGCCCTTCTGGGCGAGCAGCATTCCTTCATGCACGACCTTGAGTCCTTCTTCTGGGTTTTGTTCTGGATATGCATCCATTACACCGGGCCAGATGAGGGCAGAGTCGTCGCGAGATTTGACAAGTGGAACTACTTCGACACGGAGGAGCTGGCAACTTCCAAAACGGGGTTGGTTAGCAACGAAGGAGACTTTCTGAGGATCATAAAAGGAAACTGTACATCATACTACGAGTCACTGGTTCCGTGGGTCAACAGGTTACGAAAAGTTATGTTTCCAAATGGTGGGAGGTGGGAGATGGAGGACCAAGGGTTGTACGCGCGAATGAGAGAAATACTTCGTAAGGCGCAAATGGATCTGAGCCCGTCGTAGGAACTTCAGTCAATCGGCCTTTCTGGTCAGAACAGTACTGGAGCCCGTGCACTACGCAACAGTCCGACAAAGCCCGTGTTGTTAATTCATGTATGACGTCTAGATCGACCGGCAACACCAGGGAGGTGGAGGTGTAATTAGTTGCTAACCAACAAACAGTGAACGACGGGGTTTTCGAAACCCCTGACACGCCTCACGGCCCATATCGGTGGTCGTCGAAATCGGCACAGCATCCATGAGACTGGCGCCCGTAGGAACTTTGCCCGCCGCTTGGTGGCTGAAGATATGGCTACCCCGCGATGTGGCTGAAATGACAGCTTCAGTATCGTGGCTAGGATGGCTGACTAACAACAGACGAAACCCACGCTCTCTCCTTCATGGCACAGACCTTACATGTCCGCCTTTCCTCGCCCTCGTCCAGTCCAGCTTTCAAAACCTACATCCTTGTTGGTCGCTTCCCCGTCGTCAAGCTGCTGCCTCTCTACCCGGCAGAGGATCAAAAGGACCATTTCGACACCAATACAGCGCGAAAACCCCACGCCACCCACACATGCAACTACAAAAAACCTCGAATTCCCTTCCGAGCGCGAGATGGACTTCGTTCGAGAATTGGGAATACAACGGCATGAAAGAGCGGTTATTGAGGTCGTTCGACACTCTCGATAAAGATGTTCTTATACGCCATGCTGAGCGCATCAAAGGCCAGAAGCTCGCAATGAGCGATCCTTTTTCAGCAGGACAATCCTGGATCTGTTTCGAGATGGTCGCCGAGGACGGTAGCCTGGTGATTGCCCGTGTCCGATTGCCTCGGCATCCCGATATCCTCCCAACAGTTACGGAGGAAGACGAAAACTACGCAATCGCGTGCGAAATATCGACGATGCGTTTCGTGGATGAGAACCTCCCAGCTGTGGTTGTTCCAAAAGTATACGCCTACGAAGGCCCCGGATCTCAACTTGCCACCGATGCTGGTGCCATCTACATGCTGTTGGAAGGCTTCAATGGCAACACCCTGCAGGATGTTGCACCCGATTTGTGCAGTTTGCCGGTCTGTGAACACCCCCTGCTGTTGCCTTCTATGCTCCACGTTCCTCGCCTTCGCATCTCTCGCTTTCCAACCAGCACTCGACTTGAATCCTATCTTACCAGGCACAGGTTGCAACCCAAAAGCACATTATGGCTCAGTGGACAATGGTCCAAGCACAGCTCGCAACTTTGGCATTTCCTCAAATCGGTTCCATCTCTGATGTGACGGAATCGGGAGATCCTGTCATTGGGAAGTTGTCCATATCAGCATCTGAGGGCCTCGTTCCTCAAGGGCCATTCTCCACGGCAGCCGAATACTTCACCGCCACCGGAGAAGCTGCCCTCCGTAAGGCAGGTCTCCACGATCAAGACCTCTCACACTTTAGCAGACTCGGGGCGCTGGTTTTTATCGACATCGTACGGAATACTGGGCTCTTCAAGGAATCACAGGCATGCTATCCCCTCAATCACATGGATCTCGGCACGCAGAACATCATAGTTGACGACAAATTCAACTTCCTGGGCCTTATCGACTGGGAGTTCGCTCAAGCTGCGCCGTGGCAGGTCAATCATTACCCGATGCCTTTTCCACTTCTTTGGCCGGACGAAATGATAAAGAGTGCCCTGGACGACCCTCAACACATCGCACACAGAAACATGTCGCGGCAAGATTTCGCCCGAAAGCTGTATTCTGAAAAGTTCCGGGAGGCTGAATTTGTACTGAGGGAGGAAGGTCGGTATCTAGGAGGAACATTCGCCGAGGTATTGGAGAGCCCAGCGTCAAGGGTTTATGCTTGCTTCACCAATCTTCGAAGCTTCCCAGAACAAGATGCAGGTCATGTCCGCGAGATGGTGCGGCTCGCGTTTGGGTTTGACAGGGCGGGAACGGATCAATACCTTGAGAGCATAAATCTTAGGCAAACAAATATTTGCAGCGGAAGGTAATGAGGAAAGGCCTGGCTTGGCCATTGACATGCGGGTATACATGAGGCTGCTGAGCTACTAAGACGTGATTTCGAGTATTCTCTAGCCAAGATAGGCGCTGACAAACTGATGCTCCTCCTCTACCATCCTAACCCTCAGTCCCATCTGCATAGTATGCTCCGACTCTTTCGCTCTGAAGTGCTGCCACCAGCTGTGTTGCTTGTTGTGTTTTCGGAGGGATCAGCTTCGGCCAGTTCTTCAACTGGGCTGATGTGGCAAATGAGAACGTTACTGGTGATCCGTGTCTCGTTTCGAAGGCAACTCTTGCATCCATTATCACTCTGATGGAGGGTGCGTTAGGACACACAAGTTCGCGGGGAGGGCATAGACTCACAGTCCACCATCTTCGAACGTAATATCTCGAGCCTCACAGCCCGCTAGTTCCAACCTGGCACGCGGGACCTCCCACATGCGATTTGCCGCACGAACACTGCTCAACACCTCCCGCGAGACTCTGTGCGAACCCCTGTAGTACGTTGCTTGAGACTTTGCGCTCCATAGCTGTACGACAAGAATGTCAGCGTTCGCGCCGCCCCTCCTCAGTTGGAAGATATGGCCTTGGTCTTCTCGTATTCTTCGGTAATCTCCCATGGCACACCATTCGAACGAGGAGTTGAGAGTGGACACGATGCGCTACAAACATTAGTACGATGCCGCGACGTTTTTTGCGTGATGCCTACTGTGTCTTGCAGGACGTGGAGGCGGTAGAATTCCAAACCTGCAACAGTGGAAGGCGAGAATTGAGACGTGCCTTGGTCCATCTCTGCGAGGCAGAGCCCGACCTCGCGATCTGGTATAGAATAAAATCCATCCTTTTCGAGGGCTTGAATCGCGTCCTCGACAGAAAAAGCTTTTGTAGCCATACAAAGGAGGCTGGTATTGGAGACGCGACGGAGAGATACCTAAGGTCCAGGAACGTGGAGAGTCAGGACAAAGATTCAGCGCTCAGAATGAGTCGATGCGCCACACCCCGTTTACCCCTCATCACATCATGGCATTACCCATGATCAGTATTCGGCTCCCAAGCACACCCCCTCTTTTTTATCTCAGCCAATCATAAGGACGATGAGAGAAATGTGGAGCATTCACAAATCTGTGATCGCGTCCAAAGCCGACACCGAAGGTTGGCAAGATTGGATGCCTTGTGGGCAGCATTGAACGACGTTGTTCATCCTAGGTAGCATGAACTATAAAGACACGATCGCGCATCTTCTCGCGATATACTCTCCACCGTTCGTCAGACTCACTACCCCGGTCGCCTCTTCTCTTTCCGACCTTTCCAAGATCTGCGTATGAAATCAAGCGGGAACCATGCCTTCCTCCAACAATCAAACTCAATGCTCAAGCTGCGGCGCTGTCTACGGTCAGGGCCAGTCTCATACCTGTAGCAAGTGAGGTGTAGTGAGGGAAAAGAGAGGTATGGTCTGAGTAATGTCCTACTCCTCAGCTCAACAACTGACCCGAGATGTCATTCTAAGACTTAGGGTCTGTTCCGCGTTCTTACGACATGCTGCCATATGGGCAAGCTGTGGTGATTGTCATGGATCTCATGCGGTTTGGGCAGGGATTGTGTGATTCGCGTTGGATATTACGGGCGAGGTACCCTCTTACTCTGACTTTCCTTCCGCCATCGCACACTTTATCCTGGTGGCTCTGCTCCGGTTGTCCATTCCCCTCGAGTCAGGCCAAAAAGAGAATTTGTCACAGTCGCAGATCCAGCCAAAGATCCACCGTCTATTGTAATGTTAGGAACCGCCTGAGGCATTGTCCAGCAGTTGTCGCCCTCAATCATGTATCTGCCCACACCCATGTTGGCAAATGCCCATTCGCCGTCGTTCGCAGTCATATTAGCAATCGTTTGCGCCAGCGTCCAGTCTTTCGGACTTGTAGGCGCGACCGTGTCAGCAAATGCCCACTCGCCATCAGCATCTGGCTCGGTCAAACACGCCAAACTGTTGTCTTTCAAACCCATGATCGCCGTCTGTTGGTCGTCTACTCGACGTGTCTGGCTCCAAGTTGAGATCTCGACTTCCCGCGCAATTGCCTCCATTCCGTCGTCCGTCGTCGTGGGATCGCATGGCGGATACGAAGTGTCACAGTATACATCGGATACCCGAGGAAGTGATGAACTCTTCTTTGCCATTTTACGCGGCCGTAGCGGACTTGAAACCGTAGACTCTCGTGGTCGTTTGCTGTCAACCCTCGGGAGGCTTTGCAGTCGATTCAACTCCCCGGTAATAACTCCGTTGAAATGTGATATTCTTTGCCGCATAAAAATGGCTCCAGGCTGGTCTCGGTCGTACTTGCAACCGTGCCTTAAAAACCGATGTACCCGTTGGAAGACTTCATGACAGAAAGGGCAGGTTTCATAGCACTGAACATCTACAGCGCACATTCATTAACCTAGCGCGCCTAACAAATATTGAAGTAAGAAACGTACGCGTTTGAAAGTGTCGCACGAGATTGCCTCGAGTCGCGTACGGCCCGCCCTTATCGCATTTGTCGAACGGGCAGTGAAATATATTTGGCTGGATAGAAGAATCATGTCTGTCCTCATCTCCAACACAGCTGTCATAGCTGTCTTCCACGCTGATGGCATTTGTAGATTGTGCTATATGCATTCTACAGAGCTCCAACTCAGCGACTAGAAGACGTTCTCGCGACTGCTCCATGGTTGGCTCTGGGAAACAGGTTAAGTTTAGTAGCGGACGACTCACTCGATACTCCTCGATATGGTCGAAGAGCTTCTGATTGGATGGGAAAAGTGTGAAACAAGTCTGACATTGACGGTGCTGTATATAGTCGGCCATTTCAGTGGGGCATATAGATCAAAGTGAAAAAGAGGCGAGACGGTGGGACTTTTTTGCGAGGGTGGCGACTTAAATCAAAGCCCTTGTTGGTCATGTCACGTTGGCTCCCTTTGCTTAGGCGGGGTCGATCCGACCCGACCACTTCGGAAGTCGGGCTGGGACCATCTGCCCAACATAGACCACGGACCAAGCATTTAAGTTGGCGAAAGCCCCAGCATCGGACCAGCGCGTAACAACAACCACCATCACTTCATGTCAAAAACATCAACACAGCTATACGGCACTGTCAGGACCATGGCTGATTGCGAGGCTTGCGACAACGGCATCAAAGATGGCGGCATCTGCACGAGCTGCAAAGGCACGGGAAAAGTTTGAGCGCAACTGTGGCCTGAGGAATCAAAATTGATCAGGTAAGCTCGGATGGTCGGAGCATCCAAACACAAGAATGCAACTGACCACAGGACCTTGGTAGAAAGCATCTCAAGCATGTCACGTGGGGCGCAAGAGGAGCACAATGGCGAATTAGGCACCGATGACTGGGTTTACTGTATCGCTTGTAGGATTTGAATAGTTGCAACACGGGTGTCTGCGCTTCTCGTCCGCTCCCGTTTTCGTCTGTCGTTCTCCCTCTTCCCTCATGCCCATCTTGGGCAGGAGCTTGTCCAAATCCCCGCTGAGTCAGCAACTTGGTACACCAATAACTGCAGGTAATCTGATTAGCTTGTATCTCCCTTTTCGTGAGTACTGCAACATATGATTCAATCACCCATTTATGAAGACCCCTGTCGCTATTATTAGGCCCGTAGTATGTGACCCTTCTCCACAATATTGTTTTTCACCCCTCTGTGAGAACCCCTGTAAAACATGAGTTATCACCCTTTTGTGATAATCCTGTCGCTAGATTAGGTCCGCCTTGCCACCATTCACCGTTCTGTGAGTCCCCCCCTGTGAACCATGATTCATCACCTATTTGTGAAAACCCCTGTCGCTATCTTTCCACCCAACATTATTACCCTTCACCCTTCTGTGAGAGCCCCTGTACCATGAGCTCAGACCACAGATTAAGAGAACAAGCGGGGAAAGCGGCCAGTCTGTTGTGACGAGCCTCAAGTTGACATTACTCATGAACCAACCTGTCACGGTAATTCAGACGTGTCTTAAGCAACCTCCTTGACATCGTTGGTGCCCTGTGGCTTTCCTTGTTGAAGGGTTCATGGGTATAGGGATGTTTATGTGCACCCCGGTCTATGACCGGGACATTATCACCTCGCCCCCGAAGGAACTGCTACACCCGCATGCAAGTACCACAGATTCGACATCCGTTCGACACACTAATTATGTATCATGGAAGTTCAGTGAGGCCATACAGCCACGGCTTTTGTGTACGTGACGAGGGCATGATTGCAATAGACTTTCTACCTCTGGCACTTGCTTCAATATCGAAAGGCAGCAATGATTGCACGCTCGCCTAGGCTACCGCCAAGCCATATCCTCATCGGAACTTAGTAGAATAAGGGGGGTGGTCATCCTGGAGAAATAAGCCCTGGCGTCAACTGCCGTTGACCTCTGTCTCCCGTCAGGGGTTAGCACGGCCTCGCTCATGGCCGGTGAAGCTGCAGGCCCATGCGAGCCAAGGGGATACACCACACGTATGCGTCGTTCTGTCAATGTCATTGGGCATGCGCCTGGATGGTCGAGGTGTACTCCTCGGCCACCTATGTCTCCCGGGGGCTCTATCCAAGGCGATGGCCACAGAGTGGCTTCCGTCGGACAGCGGGGTCAGTAAATCCTTCGCTGTCTCATCGACCCGGAGGTATAAAACGGCACAGGACTGACACTGAGAGACTCGCCATCTGCACTTCAACACAGGGACTTTAATGACAAACTTCTTGATTCTCAATCGATCAGTAAGTGCAGTACCTCTTGTGATAGCAGCATCCCTTTACGTAGCTGACCGGCAGGAAAAATGGATCCCAACCCAAAGCCAGACCCCCAAGATCATGGCAAACCTGCTGGTGAGGGTGGAGGCAACTCGAAAAGCTCAGACGATGCACCAATCATCGACGAAGATGCAACCTTTAGGAACGCTGCGTATTTTGGCAACGAAGAAGGAAGCAAGGACAAGGATGGTGGTAGTCAGAAGAAGTAGATGACTTGTAGATGCAAAAATGCGAGACGACTGTGATAGCATGCACGCTGACTGCGTCTTCCCTGCCTGCCCCAAAGTCGAAGCGAAACCACAAATCGTGCAGAGGCATTGTCACCACTAACTTAGGTGGCGCGAAGCCTAAGAGCCGTCTTGTCAACAAACAAAAGAATAGACGGAATTCTACAGTACTTAAAAGGAAGCGTGGGCTTCTTGAGTCTAGCCACGCGACTTCACCTCCCTTCTTCATCGCTAAGCCATACCACACTGTTGTTCTCCGAATCCGTCGAGATGTTTACCACCTGGACCTCGCTCCATACTTTCATTGGTCTATTGTAAGCACCATGATCGTTTGAGATGACTAGGCACTCACCTCTCAGCTTGTTCCGATACACGCGACTCGTTGTTCATATTGTTGCCTACTTCCGACATGCCTCCGTTTTGCCTCCGATCTCTCCATCCCTCAGGCCAATCGACATTACGGTGGTCATTGCCACACGCGGTGATGAGATAGCCAACCTGGTCAGCGGGCTTGAATCTCACGTCAATGCTGGGTGCAGGCACATATCGATCTGCGTGCCCTCCACCAGGCTTGGTCGCGTGCAAGCCGAGGCAGATTTGTTTATATCAAAGCAAAAAGATCTGAAAGTGTACGTCTCTCATGTTGCCCAAGCCGGCAAGCGGGAGCAGCTCAAATGGGCTATAGACAGCATTCCAGACTCCAGAAGGAAAGCTCACAAGGTCATCGTCTTCGCGGATGATGACATTACCTTCCCTCACAGCACCTACGGGTGGGTTCTAGCCCCTTTCGAGAACCCCCAAGTTGGAGGTGTTGGCACTTGCCAGAGAGCTAGCCGCATCAAGGCCGGCACGATCATACAAAGGATCATAAATTGGATCTTTGCTGACTACATCGAACGACGCGGCGTCGAAAACATGGCCACTGTGGCGATCGAAAAGTCGATATCTTGCCTCTCTGGCCGATTGGCAGCGTTCCGGGCAGTGATCGTGCAAGATCGCCAGTTCCTCGACGGCTTAGTGTCAGAAACCTGGAATGGCTTGAAGCTGAGGGCGGATGACGATAACTTTTGGACTCGATGGCTTCTTGAGGGAGGCTGGGAAATTGCAGTTCAAAATGACGAGAGGTGTCGGGTCGAAACCACCTTTGGAACGACCGCATCTGAGCTCCGAAGATTTGTGAGGTGGCAAAGAAGTAATCCAAGGAGCAATGCAAAATCGTTAAGGCGCATCTCAAATTGGAAGTATCACCTAGCAAGAGCGTGGGACCTGCTGACGACGAGAAATAGGAAATTTCCTTGGGCAATTTACGCGCTTTACCTATCCGGTTTTGTGAACTACGGTCTGCCGATGGACATTGCGTTGTGGTCACTGTGTTGGAAGGCCACTGCCGACAGCCCATCTCAGGACACTCTCAGGCTAGGCTTCGTTTCTTGGTGGCTCTTCATCAAAACCGTCAAGAGAATCCGCCTGTTTCGGAGAGATGTGAGAGATGTCCTGTTCCTGCCTGTTTGCATCCTCTGGGGCTATTGCCATGACTTCATCAAGCTATATGCGTTGATGACTCGCTATGAGGTGAGACGCTACTGCGGCACTTACTGTTATTCTCGGCTCACACGGGTAGACTGGGTGGTAAACGACGCACCGGGCTTGGATCTTGGGGGTTGGAGGGGTGGCGACCTGGTTCTTGAGAGATAGTTGTAGCTATGTCCACTTCAGTATGGCTGGCAGAGAGTCTTCTAGAGAAGCGGTTGTATTTTCTTTGGCACGTAATGACTACCGAGAAAGAGATTGAGAATACTAGGACACCTGCGGACGCATCCATACCAGACCAACATGATTATGCCCCAGGGAAACCTGAGAAAGGGGGTCAGCTTTTCATGCCCAAGATAAGACACGGTGAACCCACAGTCTAGCCCTGGCGATCACGCAATGATGAAGATTGAGTCAACTCGTCCCTCAGGCGAAACCAGACTTGACATGGAGACTGTGGTTGGCGGAGGCGTGTCATTGTCGAGGGCAATGGCAGTGCGTGCAGCCCTTTCTGCGCTTCTTGTGACGGGGTCGACAGGTTTTTCACGTCCTCGGGCTTGAAGTACGAGATGACGCGATGCTCCGTGCCACCACGGGTAACGGTGATGGTCATTCGAGTCAGAGATCCATCGTGAAGAGTCGCAATAGACCGATTGTTGATCAAAGCCGGGTGGCCCCAATTCAAATGATCTCTCCAGGGTCCGGTTGCGTTATCTTCCACAACAAAAGTAGAACCACTCCGGATCAAGAGAGGAATTTCGCGTCGCCAGGTCCTCTGGGTGCGTGAGCAAGTTTGCCCTGAAGACAACTGTCCACGAGAAGTGTTGCATCCTCCTCGGAACGAACGTAGCCCTTGAAAGTGGGTTCAAGGGGGATCGGGGGGTTGTCGGCTCCATTCAATAAAGGTGTCGCCGAATAGCTCAGAAGTTGGGGGCTGTCTCGGTGACGAGGAGTAGCTCACTGGAGATATGAATAGTTGCTCAAGCTCATTGAAAGCTCACGAAGGCGCCAGGAAGGATTTTATGCCTTGACATCTGTCCCTCCCTCTGTCGGTCCCCCGGCTGAGATTCTCTCTGCTGGGGTCGCCTTCCAACACGATGTGCGGCTGATGTAAATGCTTCCCCAATTCGATAATGATGCAGCTTCGAGGATGATGGTCAATGGTGTGCTGGTGATGTGGGGCTGCCAATCGCTCCATGTATCCAGGTACCAATTGCGGGTGCTTGGTCGGTGTGATTGCACTGCAGGCTGACGCACATCCCGGCACCAACGCAGAGGTGAGGGGCAGAGGCTCAGCACCAAGTCTCCCATCCACAAACCACTCTCGCCGTTCCAGACCCGACGTGGCTTTCACCATTCTCCAAGGATGCCGTCTCATTTAGAGATACACCCCCTGAGCGATCAGCAGAAAGATGAGCTCATCCGCGTCCTGCCCAACATCAAGTCCCTTCTCGTTCCCGTGGATGACCGGCACGACATGCATGGGGACGCGCGCAAGCTCAAAGACAGCGTCGCTCATTTCATGGAGCTGTTCAATTACAGGGAGAAGGTGAGCCTCGGCCCGTTCGATACATGTCAGAATAAGACTAAAGCCTGCTGCTAAGGTCGGTGGCGACGCGCAGGTCAACTGTGTCCGGATACGAAAGGAGGCCACCTTGCCAATCAACAACCCGCCACGGATATTCGTGCCGATAGAGGTATCGGAAGAATCAAGTATCGGAGAACAGAAGGTCGATTTTGGATGTTACGTATACGTGACAGAGAGCGTCAAAATCTGTCCCTCTTTGACGTATCTAGGGTTGCGTCGAACGTAACAAATCCTCGATGTTAGTTGCCCCAAATGTTGCTGGGTCAATCCATGTTGCATCCTCGTTTATGAATCCCTCACCGAGAGGATATACACCGTCCATGAGGCTGTATGCCACTCGTCTCCTGAAGTGTAGCGGCCACATGTTCGGCGCATGCAGGACAGTCGCGAACATCGCTCGGGCACTGTGTGTCTCTGTCGTCGCCTGACGAGACGAGCGTC